ACGTCTATATCATGGGTGTTTTGGTGTGTTGCAAGTCTAGTGGTGAATTCTAAGACTTTGGTGGAAGGGGGGCTGGTTTAATTCCCGGTTTATCCAGAAAAATTAACTTTTAAGGGCTGACTTCCCTTAAGCGTTTAGTGTTCTCTCAACAATAATGCTGCTGATGTTACAACTAATTTTTATCCAATAATCTTACTTTAGTATCTCACCAAGCTTCTTTCATTTAAGTCTTAAATACAAACACCAATATATTTGAATATATATAAAACTATTTCATCTATACAAAGTCAAATGGTAACATTGCATAACCATTTGGAATTATTACTGCTGTGCATGTAATTTTCCTAGTACTTTCTAAAGCTAAGATTATATAATAATTTATTTCTGTACGTGTAGATGGAAAGGTGAAAACGTTTCAACGTCGGAAGTGGAAGGCCTCGTCAGCAACATCTCGAACTACAAAGATTGCGTTGTTTATGGAGTCGAGGTAAATAGGGATTTCTCTTCTTAATTTTAGTTTGTTGTTGACTGAACTCTTAAGTGTAAAACATTGAAAAAATTAAGTCTTAATTGAAATTCTCAATTAGAACGTGAATCAGGTAGAATAAAATTGTAGTTGTGGAAACTACATGGTCAAGGTTTACAGTAAATAAATTTTTACAAACATGATGTGGAAAAGTGGCATTATATTTTTACATTTTATGAATAGTAGTGGATTAAAGTTCTATTGAAATATATATCTAAAGTAATTTTTACTTGTTTCAGATACCTCGTTGTGAAGGGCGAGCTGGAATGGCGGCCATATTGGATCCTAACTGTGACCTTGATTTGACCTCTCTTGCCGAAGGAGTAAAGAAAGCGCTGCCAGTCTACGCCAGGCCTGTCTTTGTCAGATTACTGCAGGAAGTGGAAATGACAGGTAATTAAAAAAATACTGTAATGTGTGTCAGTTGAAAAGGCACTAATCGAGAATATTTTAGGTTGTTTGGGCCCGAGGGAACTCTGGCAATGAGCTCAATAGTTCTCCGAGTCACCGTGTATGCCCCCATTATTGCTTTTAGCTAGGTAAGATGTGCAGGAGAGGGTGATTTACAAAAATAAAGGTGTGAATACACAGGTCAAAGAATAGAAGATATTGACTGAAAAACTGCAACAAGTAAACTGTTGCTTACCTTTAGGAAATGACATACTTGATGAAAATGAAATATTTTGATGAAATTACAATAATTTTCATAAGCAAAATGTATCGGAAATGACTGCAAATTTCCATGATATCAGGAGCGATTGGCTAACATCGGGTGCGATCTTAAACATCACAAATAAATCTTGTCCAGAAAAAAACCCAGGTATTAAACAAATTCCGCTCGAGGATCAGGAATTTCAATCTTTATAAATCTATAATTTTTGTGACTCGATCAACTCTAGTAAATAAGAATATTGACTTTGATTTATTGTCTAAAAATAATACATTATATTTCATTTCTTATAGGAACGTATAAACTGAAAAAATTAGACCTGCAAAAGGAAGGCTTCAACCCAAGCACGATAGAAGACAAGATTTACTTCCTCAGCGCCAGTGGAAAGTACGAACTTTTGACGCCAGAACTATACAAAGACATCGAAGTTGGTGTAATAAGATTCTAAGTAATGTATTAAGATTTTCTAGTAGACTGATCAAGTCTTGTACCAATGTAGCCTAGTGTGATAAATATTTTAATATTTATTTACATCGAAATCAGGGTTGTGTCTTTTTTTGTTGCTAGAAATGTATTTGACTGTACAGGTATAATTGTGTATAATATAAGCTGTATTTTATCCAATTTTGACTTTTTTTTATAAAAATTCATCTTATTGAGTGGTCATCTTGTTTTATTTCCACAGATATTGATTTGTGACTAATGAGTTTCTCTCAATATATTTGTTACTTTAGACTTTTCATTGAGTAGTGTTAATCCTTCTACAATGAATTCTTTGCTAGTCATAATACATGTTCTACTCAGTCTTTTACTTTAAGAAGACCGCTTAAAGCTATCCTAATTCTGTGCCAATAACCTTTAAATTATTGATATGCTGTTTATGCATTCCAATAATTACTATGACTTAAAAACATTTAATATTTTTCAAATACTTGATTGTATGCTTGTTTTAAAGTCATGTTTGCATAAGTAAAAAAGATTCAGAATCCTTAGGATTGGGCCTAATGTCACATTATATTGCATTTAATAAAACATTCCGATATTTTTAATGCAGAGTAAATAAATAATGTTAATGTTATATCTTTAGATTATATTACCATATTATCTAGACAAAATCTATTGACTTTTTCTTTATTTGTGAAATAAGTCGAGGCATGAGTTATGAATATTTTTAATGATTTATAACAGTTGCAATATAATTTGTCCCTTGATAGATTCAAAATCCCTTACAGTATTTTAAAGAATGTGAACTATTAGTTTGTTGTCCATGACACGTTTTGTTTTTCTAAATCGAAAGAATTATTTATTTTTGCTCTTTGATTGTTGACAAGACCAAGACTATAAGTCTCTAACGCTGTACATTGTTGTCTACTTAATGTTTGAAACTAAAGCTGTTTAATGCATTAGATTAGTGTTTTGTTAATTAATGTAGGTGTGTAAAGTTGTTATACAATGATTGTGCTGTAAGCATTTATTTTTATAAAGCATTGTAAACTGTTTTCTATTTTGTAATAAGTATAAAGATGCAATAAAGTATATTTTATCTCAAAACCTTAATATTATTTCCAAAACCAAAAATATCTAGATTGGAAGCTTTTCCCCAACTCTCTGTCAAACAGATGCTTTATTTCAATGGTTTACTAATGGATTCCATAATAAAAACAAAGCAGAAAAACTAAATATTTGTTTAACTGAATTTATTAGGTTCCATAAATAAATCAATATAAATTTGATGGAATTTTAGCCTTACCATTGCATTTAAATACAAAAAAATTGTGTAAAATTAAAATTGGTATTCATGCGATGTTGAACGATGCAGTAGGACAACTAGTTTAAACCTACATCAGTAATCATCATACCAGTACTAGATGTTTTATTTGCTTCTATGAAGGTAAATGTTACACACACATGGACATAAGATCACGAACATTTAAGTGATAAACATTTAAGTGATACGACAATAATACTGGTGATACGTGAGTCACAACGTGATAAGACGGATGTTATCTCTGGAATAACAAATAACAACACACAAAAATAACTTGATAACAGATAACAATAATTAAATAAACACCCTGATATTAAAAAAAAAAACTAACATTTAAAAAACAAATACCCCGCCACAGCAAACCTGCAGATTAAGCGAATTTCAATTTGTCAGATTGGATTTAAGTAAAATATTTCCATTAACAAGTCATATTTATGCCCTGTTTGAATAACATTAGATTTAACAAGTATCGTACTTGGGTTTGCAGGAACGGAGGAGGGAAAAAGGGTTTTTTGATAAAATGTTTATGGTGTAAATGAAATAAATAAATTTGTGAAATTTAATAAAAATATATCCATAAACAAGCAAACTACACCATTTTTCTGTATCCCCATAAGAAAGCATGGGAATTTTAAATTAAAAGGTTATTATTTTCTGTAACCTTTAATATTTTACAAAAATGCTTCAATATAACAAAATTGTTTGCTTTTTCAGATCTATAAAAATTATTTATTTTCATGTTTTAATCGCAAAAATTTGAAATAATACATTCTGAAAAACTTATGACCCCATAATTCCCTGTTTTTATGACCCGATCTTACTGGTTCGCAAACTCATTCAAGTTTATCAAAGTCTACACTTTTGCACGAGTTTAATAAAAATCAACCAAAATAGCTTAAATATAGTTTTTCGGAAAAATATAATAAAAAATTTAACAAATATGGTTTTTAATCTTTGGGTACATCAAAATGAAAAAGCAAATCGGTCCCAGGTCTATCTTTGCTTCTTCCCTATAGGGGAATTCGCTAAAAACATAAATTAATACTGAAAGTACCATGTTCAGTATTTGTGGTCAATAAGAAAACAAGAAAAGGAAACACAACCAAAATCCCAATTTGTAGTTTTTAAATAATGTTTATTTAAAATTTTCTGGTAAAAAAAATTCCTCAAATTTAATTTAAAAATGGTCACATTTTGTAGAGTAGAGAATTCAGATATAAAGTCACAGCAATTTTTGGTTTATATACAAAGGGCTATAGAATATTGCTCAATAGGAAATTGGTTTTGGCATTTTTTATTTGTACAAATAATTTTTCTTTTGCTGAGTTTCAACTCAACAATACTAATCATAATTAATTATGGTTAAAAGCTCTTATACGACTGTTTTGACACCTATGAGACTTCAGATTTTTTTAAATTTTGAGTTCCCCACAAATCTTTAGTCTGGAGCACAGATTTGGGTACAAATATGAACGAATTTGTAACCATGAAGGTTACCCATATTTTTGTTAACCCTGTTTGGTATTTTTATTGGCTTTAACATGTTCGCTACTGATCGCCACATATATGCGACGCTGCGGTCATCGCCATGGACTGATGAATCCATTTTAATATTACACATGACTATGAGACCAGGTAGCACTTGGCAGAACACGCAGACCACGGGCCAGTGAAGTAATAAAGTAAAGTAATAAACAGTTTTGCCAACTATCAAATGACGTCACCGATCATCATATCCACAGACCAAGTGACACAGATGTGCAACAGACATCCCTTTAGACTACTGCAGAGAATTCAGGGCCTTCAAATAGACCATTTAGAAGATATAAGCTTTTTAATAACATTGGTATACCGACGCAAATATGCGACTTCAGTCTATTTCAATGTGACCAGTCGTCGCATATATGCTTTGCTGGTCTATATGAATGAAAGATTTAGTACTTATATATACCAGTATTTTAGATACCAGATTAAAAACAGAGACAAAATTAATATTTTGGTAGAATAAAATGGTTGCCTAGGAAATACAAATTAAAATTTTTAGTAAGCATAAATTTTAATATCAGCAAATAATAGTTTTGTCTCAAAATCATTAAACATAAATTTTACCTAATCTGACCAGGAAGACATCATGGCTGCTCTAGTACAGGTAAGTTTTAGTGTTTATGTTTTGACTATGTGAATGGTTAAGCTTTACATAAGTCTTCAATAATATACAGGACGTAAATAGAATTAAATTAGGAATACAAGCTCAGTTCAATCCGTGACTATTGATACATCTAGACATTCCATCATCATTTGAAAGTTGTTGCTAGTTTTTACAATCAAAATCGTCAAGCGTCGTAGTGGATATAGGCAATGGTTGAATAATATACACATCACATTTAAGTCCCAACATTACATATTACCTATAGTATCCAAAAGTCATGATATTACTCATGTAAAGTAATATTTGTACACCATCTGGAAAGCATAATATTAACCCCTTACTTTTTCTGGTTTTGAATTTTGAGCTTTTGTTGCTTTTTATTTTGTATATCTACGGTTTTGGAATTTTTTAAGTTTTTTTAAGGGAACGGTCTATACCCTGCTTATTGTTTACTAGTCAACTTGTTGTTATGTGGCATCATTAATTGACGGCCCAATAACAAATGGCATCTAGGTACGGGAACGATCTCGGTTGGAATTAAACAAGCAACCTTCAGATTGAAGGCGAGCACTATAACCACTCAGCTACCTGGACAATCGTTTTGTATTTCACAGCCAAAATACTAAACAATGAAAGATGGAATTTTCAGCAATCAAAATATTTCATAATCGATTATGTCAACTCATCTAGTACTTAACTGGCTTAAGTAAGTATGGGATGTTCTAATTGAGTAACACATCTATTAAATGACATTGCGGTGCATTTTTCATTAAATCTGATGGTAAAGCCAGTAATTTTTTCAACTTATATCAGTTTGTAATTTTTATTGAAGGTTGAAGAACTTCAACAACATTAACCATTATTTATTTCTAAGCTATTTTAGGCGTTACAATTAACAGTACATTAAGCATTGCACTTTCAGGCATGTCAAACCCCACAAAAAAAGGAAAAGAAATGCTGGCCTACTGGACACAAGTATGGTGGACCCTGTCTCTGCAAATGTGTAAGTTTTTAAGTTTCATAGTTTTAAATAAAAAGTTCCTGATCACTGATTAAAATTGATCATAGCCTATATTCATTCTTGTTGTATAAAATATATTTTTTCTCAAACAACTCTATATGCCATTGTGATTTAAAATCCTTTTGGAGAAGTCAGCTCAAACCCTGGTATGGAAAATGTCAATAGTTAGGAAATATCAAACTAAACATATATTAAATACGGAAAGTAAAAAAAGAAACGTCTATACATAAAAGATGGTAAGTGGTCATCGATTTCAATTGGACACTCCAATCATCATCATTACAACAACGTGAATGTCATTTGCCTATTGGGTCTCGTCTGATTTTTAAAGTGTTTTTAGACATTTCTTTTATTTACTTTCCGTAAATTTAATAACATGTACAATACTGATCAAGAAGTTGTGTATTAAATAGTAATCTATCAGCTTTGTGCTAAGTAACCTGTTGAATTTATTATCTAAATAAATCCTTTAAATATACTTTGTGTTGTGATTATTAAGAAGCTCATGAAGAGAAAATGTTCTTGTAATTTAAATAACCAACTAGTCAAAAAACCTTTTTAGAATGTCAGTTTAATGTGTTAAACAAAGTTCCTATTAATTCAATGTACAAACTAAAAAATCGATTAGTCAAAACCACCTCAGTTAGCTTTTTGTTTTATGAATGTTTTTTTTCTCTTTACAGAAATTACGGTACATCCAGCCAGAACGCCCTCAATCTTTCAAGCCAATTACTGTAAGTATGACATTAATATGTATGTTACTTCTTGGTAAAAACACCTTGCAAAATAATGAATAAAGACATTATTTCAAAAAGAAGTTCTTTATCTGTAAACCTCCTTTAATCCCAGGTACATAGTACCGTCTTTCATTTTTAATCACAACACAGGAAACTCCCTCTTTATCAAATTCCTGAAAACCAGACTTTTTTCACCAGCAGAAATGACTACAAACAAACATGATTGTATTGATGACCTTTAAACCATAGTGAACAGATTGTGGTCTTTTTGTTTACATCCCAATAGTCAAAGTTGCATGTATGTTTGTTTATATGTTCATCCAAATGGATCTAAGTAAGCAAAGTACTGTAAAGTCTCAACTTTGTTTATTAATTAAGATCTTGGTTAGTGATTCTAAGTAGAAGATGTTTTCAACAGGTTAAATTCTGATTTCACAGGTTTTTTTGATTAAATTATTGCTCAAGTCACTTGACTACAATTTGATCGAAAAACAGATTTCTTATTACATTTACAATCTTTCAGAGTTTCAAGCAGCCTGATTGCAAAATCAATGATGGAACAACCTACAAAATGTCTTATTACGGGTTTGATCCAAAAGTTGTGAAGAACTGTCGAGGGCAGCCAGTGATTGCTAAGGAAAATTTAGTTTCATCTGGTGACTTTAGCAGTGATACGACACACAAGGTAAATTGTTTTGTAATTTCTAGAGTTTTTATTTTATTTTAGATATAACAGGTGTCCTTTACTGCTACCGTTACTGAAATCAAATCACCTTGGGTTAAAAGAGTTGCTTCTCACACTCATTCCGCACTAAATTTGCCATAAAAACCACTCTTTACCCCATCCCCCACATCATCCAACATCAACTCTTTTTTATGTCAAGAATGTCAACGTGTTACTGCTCTGTTATTGTATGATGATTAGTTCACAGCGCAAAATAAAATGCAACTGAGGCGCACTACTACAAAAATATTTGAAATACCTATCTTACTGTCTATTATCAATTTAAAAATAAACAATAATATACACGATACACGATACACGATACACCCCCCCCCCCTGATACACCCCCTGATACACGATATGAGACACTCTTTAATGCAAAGATGAAATGACAAAAATAGTGTAAAAATAACATTGCTTGTGGAAACATCAAAAGTAATTCCTCGTTAATCCTACATTATTTACTCTTCAGATGAGCTACGGAGCATGGCCAGGGTTCAAGCCTCCGACGACCATTGTCCCGGCGGACCACAAGCTGATAGGAGACGGTCCGTTGTCTCACCTCACAACTCACAAACACGACTACACACCTAAGCCTCTGCAAGAGGTGGAGCGAGTCATCCACGAGGGCAACTTGGGCTTCTCACAGGATCCAATGGAGGGCAAGTCAATCTAATTACTGTAGTTGAACATAGCTAAACTAAGATTTAACTTAACAGGTGCAATGTGTTACAAGAAAATTAGGGACATTTGTATTACATACTGATTAATTGTTTTTGTTTACAGACAAAACAACCAATAACATGTCCTATCAGGTTCCGGACTACAATAGATTTGAGCCCGCCACTTCATTCAAGCCTAACTCAATGTAAGTTATGAATATTTTAATTTATTGTTAGCCTACAATAAGTCCTTTATTGTAGCAGATGTGTAGGTTTAACATTAATTAAAACAGAACACAATAAAATAGACATTTATATTTTGGTTAAACAGGACTCAATGCTGTATTTGTAAATAGATTGAAAATTTGTTTGATTTTTTAACAATTGAAGGTGTATGAAAGATAAACTTAAAAAATGTATACATAATTTGCCTCCAGGATTGATCTATTGACATAAAATGAGGTTATTAACCTGTCGTCAATCAATCCTCTATTGTCTTGGATGACTAGTTTCGGGGTTAAAACCCCATTTTCAAATCTCTTCAGTCTTCAAAAGTCAAACATATTTTCTTGCATAAGCCGTCGTCAAAATTACTTCACACATACTGTGAAGACACACAGACTGCCTGGCAGTCTGGTTTTGTCCTTGGCCGGCCTCACGCGCATGTACATGATTTGTAAATATAAATGTTTTCCTACAGTTACCTAACAATGTACATGTTCTCTCACTGATTTGAGAAAGCAAAGTGGCCAATTAGCTCATCAGTGAGACAATGTTAACATTGTCTCACTCTAATTACGTTTATCTCACTCCAGATTTGCAATGTGAAGGCACGAAATAGTGAGCGCGTAACATGCAGGCAACGTCGTATGCGCGCGAAACACGTTGGCAGCACTGGCTGTAAATCAGCTGGTCAGCTGTTGTACTGTTGTATTTGTCACTTCATGTTAATGTTATATTAAAAGTTCACTTCTGTGTAAAAATAGGTTATGTTTCTTCACCAATTTATTTGTTTTATGGTAACTGTAGGAAAAGTATAATGTGCAACTCGAGTTCAAAGTACAATTGCCTCACTCGAGAAACCATTCCTCACTCGCCTACGGCTCGTGAGTAAGGATTTCTCTCGAGTGAGTCAATTGCTCACTTTTCTCACTAGTTGCACAAATAACTATTTCATGTGTGTTTATGTGTATGTGTGAAGTAATTTTGACGACAGCTTATGCAAGAAAATATGTTTGACTTTTGAAGACTGAAAAGATTTGAAAATGGGGTTTTAACCCCGAAACTAGTCATCCAAGACAATAGAGGATTGATTGACGACAGGTTAGTAACCTCATTTTATATTAAAAAATGTGTTTTAATTCCATAAAAGTAAGGATCTCGCTAATCTGTTCTAATTTAGACTTAATAAATAGTAAACAATTTTAGATTAAACCAATTTGTAAAAGTATTACACGACTACCATATTTATCTTTCAGCTTCAATCCTCCAAGTTCAAAAATGGATGACAAAACAACACACAAAATGAGTTTCCAGCCGTTTTGTCCCCCTGAAAAAGAGGAATACCCGTGGGCTCAGAAGCCCAGGTACCAAGCTCCAAAGGTCAGATTTGACGGCAGCACTATCTACAATGGAAGGTAAATGGGTTGAATTTAGTACAATTAATATTTTAATACCCAATGGCTCAGAGATAGAGATTATTATAAAATCCTAAAATTTTAAATTTTTCTTGGTGATTTAATATTGTAGCATGATTAATGTTAAAATCATGCCCCCTGTCTTGTCTTCAACAAATATTCAGTAACAGAACTATTCAAATTGTTTCATGTAAAGTCATATAATTTACCTTTTGTTATTCTTTATGCATTATTTGGCTTTAACACTCTAAATTTCATTTTTTAAATTTGAATAAAATTAAAGTTAGTGACAATGTAACTTCTTAGCTTTGCAGTTTGTCCTCTTGTTTTCATAAAAGCTTATGTTTGGATTCCATAAGGATAAGATATACAATTTACTGACAAAAAATTAATTGTTGTTTCAGTTATTTTGCTCCTGGCCAGTTCATAGAGGATTGTATGGGACCAGGTAAGTCTTAGTGTTTTATTTGTTAAGTTTTTAATGTTTGTTGAGTAACAACCGTTTAAGTTAAAGAGTTCATGATGGAATGGCCTCTGGATCGTCTGAATTAACCTATAGTGGTTTATGTTACCTTGTTACTGTCCGAAACCATGCTTTGTTGTTTGTTATGACTGCAGATGTTTCGTGTTGCGATGCAGCACATAATAAGATCTGAAGAATTTCATGTAGTCATTAAATTCCTCATGGTGGAGCTCGTCAGAAGTTCAATAGTATATAAATAACACAAAACAGAACATTTATAGCACTGTGTATATTAATATGGTATGAAAATGTTACTTTGAATACATTTTAACAATAATTTGTTGTATGGTAGATGGGTGCTACTGCATGTATCCAGGGGAGTGTTTTGACAAGGCAGAAGAGCCTCCGAAGGCCCACGACTTTGACATTTGTCCCTCAGGATACAATCCTCAGGTTTGCCAACCTAGACCGATGCCTGTCATCTGCGAAGAGTCTGCAAATGGCTTCGGTAACAAAAGGTATGCACTAAAAATTATCTTCATTTGTGTGACTTAAGTTTGGAAAATTAAAAATCATTACTCTTACAAATAATATTATTTACATTACTTACCGGTACATACTCCCATGGCCATCAATACCCTAGAAGGATTTTGGCCTCGCCAACAATTGCTCGCTATCTTTCCCAGTCGTATGCCTCATCTACTTCAGCTCCCGCTCTTGCAATGTCTGTCTTCACGCTGTCCCACCATCTTCTTTTAGGCCTTCCAGGTGGTCTTCTCCCGCTCGGCTGCCCTTCTCCTACAGTACTTCTATTACATCAAAAATAGATGTTAAATTCAACATAAACGCTAGGTTTAACCTTTTTTTCAAAGCTGTATTTCATAACGCCCGAGACAAAAGTAATATTTAATCTGGTACATAACTATGTGCCATTCTATCATTAAAGCTCTATGTTCTATCATTCTAAATAGTTTTTAGATAGGACCTGGTCATTCTATCTCTAAGCTCCTTTAATACTGTAAAATTCTCACATTCGTTAGCATGATAAATTATAGTATGGACTCGGTTAGCATAATCTATTTTCAATATGTTCTAAATGTTATTTGTGATTGAGACAGTTTAGTATACAGTTTATATTATGAGTTATAGTGTTTACAGTAAGAGTTTGTAATTTTATAGTAAAGGAGTTATATTAAACAATATCAAACCAGAGAACATTTTTGTTTCAGGTTTAATGGCAACTATGACCTAAGCAAGGAATGCTGACATGATGGATTTAAATTAAATAATAAGTAACTGTGATCTTATTTAAAGTCTTGTGTGAGAAAAAATATAAATTCATGTAAATTTATGACTTTTGCATGTTGTTTTTATTGCTTTGACAGTTTTATTCAAATGTATCTTAGTGTGCCTAATAAGCCAAGTGTGGATAAAATTTAAATGTGGTACCTTGAGTAGCAATTTTACTTCAGTTTAGCCAAGATTAATAATTAAAAAACCAGTGATCAATTCGGGTAACACGTTAGTACCAGTAGCAATCTCATTACAGTACAAAAATTACTGTCCTAAATAATCACGTAAATCAACCGTTGTTTAAAAAATCAAGGAATTTTTCAACCTAAGATAATGGAAAACTAACGAAACCAAATAACTATTGTAAAGCCAGAACAGCTTTCTATTTTGTGTATTTTGAAGCTAATGTCATTTACCCATTGGGGAAGGAATTAATGCGCTACCTGCAGCACCCTCTGGCGGCAATTAATTTTACCGAATTTGTAGACTTTTACTCTAACTGCTATAGAAAGAAAACCTTAGGTAATAAATTAATAACTCTTTCACCATTTTGTTCACAGTAAAATTGTCTACAGAAAAGTGGTAATTGGATAGTCAAAGTTCTAAACTAAAAAAAAAAATATATATAAAGATTATAAAAATTAAAATTAAAAAACAATATTTTGAAAGTAAACTTGATATACAAATTCCAAGATTAATCCAGACACCAAATAACACTACTATTATAAAGTTCAATCAATTCCCTATGTAGGAAAATCAAAAGTTGTGTACTTTTATAAGTAATAACATTTTTTTTATCGGTTGTTTACCTTAGCGCAGCTGATTTTTGGTGATATGTGGTTTCCATGGCAACACAAAATTGTTTGTTATTCGCTAAAATAAAAGAGTAAATACGCAAATCAAGAAGCAAGATATTTATAAACATTATAATAGCAAGAAGAAACTAAAAGGGCAAAAAATAATAATAACTAAATAACTAATGGCGCTGCCTAGCGGTGACACGAGCGGCACTCGTAAGTCGGCCGCCGGGCCTGCAGCGGCCGTACGAGTAACGCTCGTAAGTCGGCGCCAATGGGTTAAGTTGTTATATGAATATATTTATTAGAGAGTAATGTTATCAAAAACGCTTGCTGGAGTCCGTGTTACTTTAAGAACCTTAACTTATTTATTAACATTAACAACAGCTTTTAAACAGCATCCTTTATTAATTATTCATAACCACCCCAGTTTAAATTGCAACTCATAATTTTATGTTTGCTTGCCTTTTCTAAGAGGATTCCACAATGTCAAATTTAAAATTTCTCATCATTTAGTTGGATATTTCTGATCTCTCCATTTATACTTATGTTATCATTTCCCTCTAATATGAGAAATATTCATAAAATTTAAAGTAAGAAAAAATCCTCAAGCAATTTAAATAAGCTTAAAAATTACACTAAAAAAACAAGTTGTACAGTTTCAATTAGCCAAAAAGCCAAATATTCTATTCAGTTGAGTGAATCAACTGTAAAAAGTTGCCAATTACAACTTGTTATGACAGGTTCTGATGCTAATTAACCAAATAATCAATATCGCCTCTAACCATCTGAGTGTTTATCCTTGGCCAGGCAAATTCAATGGTTTTGTTTTATTGCAGTTGTCTTTCTCAGTCCTTGGACACAACTACAATGAAGATCCTCAGTGTTTTTATAATTAATCTGTTTATAAGCCACATTAAAGTGGCGGGTCTCTTATTGAAACCACTGGTAAACACACCATTATTTGTTTAGAAAGTACATTTTTTATTTAGCTTTAGCTTGCATGATGAATTTAATGTAGTTGTGAATTATTATCTAACTAGCAGTTTTTTTTCTTAACTTATTTATTGGTTGTTTTTATGAGGAGAAAGAGTTTTTGTCTATAATATATTCCAAGTTTAAAATATAAAATTGGTTCCAGGAAAAGTATTGAGGCGTAACATTATCTTACATTCGATACCTTATAAAAATGCATAGTACAGTAGCTTAGCCATTAATAGTAAGCTTCCACTTAGGAGAGCATTTTGATCGTGTAGTTTAAGTTCAAAGAATTAAACAAACCCAAAACAAAATTTTGCAGAATATAGATTATGTTTATCAGAGTTTAAAATACAATTAGAAACAAGCAGCAACAACTATAATGAGAATTTATAAATTAGGAATACAGTAATTTATTTTAGACTATACTTAGAGCTCCCCCCGTGGTCGAAAACTCGACCAAAAGTGAGTATTGTGCAAACTTCTCTATTTCCCCCCCACGCTTTAAGTAAAGCTTGAGATTGGATTTTTTTTCCATTTGTTTTGAGGTTCTGTTCATATTTTGTTGTAATTTCGTCGCCAACATGGCAACCCATAAGGCCCATGTTAATTTTATTAACATTTTTAAATTCATTTGTTGTGCTTATTTTTGAGCCTATTTTAATTTATAAAGGGATTCTGCACATTTACAGGAAAATATCTTTCATTTGTTACCAACCGTGTGTAATTCGGTCCAGTAGTATAGTCAGGCTAGCTGTCATAAGTTTTGCAAAAGTTTTTTAGTACATATGATTAAATATATCAGGTTAGATGTACTGTATATTTACATGTTACAGCCTGAGCTGATCACAGAGGCAGGGTACCCAGTAGAGACCCACATTATAGACAGCAGTGGGTATCTGTTGACAGTCTATAGACTGCCTCAACCCCAGTCTACATCATTATCTGCAGCTCCATCTATGATGATGGTATCTGTTGACAGTCTATAGACTGCCTCAACCCCAGTCTACTTCATTGTCTGCAGCTCCATCTATGATGATGGCCCATGTATATTACATGTGTATATTTACATGTTACAGCCTGAGCTGATCACAGAGGCAGGGTACCCAGTAGAGACCCACATTATAGACAGCAGTGGGTATCTGTTGACAGTCTATAGACTGCCTCAACCCCAGTCTACATCATTATCTGCAGCTCCATCTATGATGATGGTCCATGTGTATATTTACATGTTACAGCCTGAGCTGATCACAGATGCAGGGTACCCAGTAGAGACCCACATTATAGACAGCAGTGGGTATCTGTTGACAGTCTATAGACTGCCTCAACTCCAGTCTACATCATTGTCTACAGCTCCATCTATGATGATGGCCCATGTATATTACATGTGTATATTTACATGTTACAGCCTGAGCTGATCACAGAGGCAGGGTACCCAGTAGAGACCCACATTATAGACAACAGTGGCTATCTGTTGACAGTCTATAGGCTGCCTCAACCCCAGTATACATCATTGTCTACAGCTCCATCTATGATGATGGCCCATGTGTATATTTACATGTTACAGCCTGAGCTGATCACAGAGGCAGGGTACCCAGTAGAGACCCACATTATTGACAGTGGTGGCTATCTGTTGACAGTCTATAGACTGCCTCAACTCCAGTCTACATCATTGTCTACAGCTCCATCTATGATGATGGCCCATGTATATTACATGTGTATATTTACATGTTACAGCCTGAGCTGATCACAGAGGCAGGGTACCCAGTAGAGACCCACATTATAGACAGCAGTGGGTATCTGTTGACAGTCTATAGACTGCCTCAACCCCAGTCTACATCATTGTCTGCAGCTCCATCTGTGATGATGGTTCATGTATATTACATGTTTATATTTACTTGTTACAGCCTGAGCTGATCACAGAGGCAGGGTACCCAGTAGAGACCCACATTATAGACAGCAGTGGGTATCTGTTGACAGTCTATAGACTGCCTCAACCCCAGTCTACATCATTATCTGCAGCTCCATCTATGATGATGGCCCGTGTATATTACATGTGTATATTTACATGTTACAGCCTGAGCTGATCACAGAGGCAGGGTACCCAGTAGAGACCCACATTATAGACAGCAGTGGGTATCTGTTGACAGTCTATAGACTGCCTCAACCCCAGTCTACATCATTATCTGCAGCTCCATCTGTGATGATGGCCCATGTATATTACATGTGTGTATTTACATGTTACAGCCTGAGCTGATCACAGAGGCAGGGTACCCAGTAGAGACACACATTATTGACAGTGGTGGCTATCTGTTGACAGTCTATAGACTGCCTCAACCCCAGTCTACATCATTATCTGCAGCTCCATCTATGATGATGGCCCATGTATATTACATGTGTGTATTTACATGTTACAGCCTGAGCTGATCACAGAGGCAGGGTACCCAGTAGAGACACACATTATTGACAGTGGTGGCTATCTGTTGACAGTCTATAGACTGCCTCAACCCCAGTCTACATCATTATCTGCAGCTCCATCTATGATGATGGCCCATGTATATTACATGTGTGTATTTACATGTTACAGCCTGAGCTGATCACAGAGGCAGGGTACCCAGTAGAGACCCACATTATTGACAGTGGTGGCTATCTGTTGACAGTCTATAGACTGCCTCAACCCCAGTCTACATCATTATGTGCAGCTCCATCAGTGATGATGGCCCATGTATATTACATGTGTGTATTTACATGTTACAGCCTGAGCTGATCACAGAGGCAGGGTACCCAGTAGAGACACACATTATAGACAGCAGTGGGTATCTGTTGACAGTCTATAGACTGCCTCAACCCCAGTCTACATCATTGTCTGTAGCTCCATCTGTGATGATGGTCCACGGACTCTTCTGCAGTGCCATAGACTGGATCATGCAGGGACGTGGAAGAGCTTTAGGTACAGAGGGTAGTTTTTATTTTGTCACTAGTTTAATTTTTATTTGATCTTTTTCAAATATAATCTCATAACACCTTTAGCAAATATAGGAACCAAAATTAGAAAGCCTAGAGTTCCAAAAACTAAAAAATTTTAATAGCTTATTTAGTAGCACTAAAATAAATTTTTAAATATGTTGTTGAACGATTCCTCATGAGGTTTACTTGAAATTTTAGTTTGTTAAAACTTATCTTAGGATACAAGTAACTTTCTTTACATTTTATGTATTTTGTAGGGTATCTTTTACATGATGCTGGACAAGACGTTTGGATTCCTAACCTACGAGGTTCTACA